TCGGACTCGACTCTAAGAAAGCTTAAGCAAAAAGACACTTTAGGTTCCTGAAACATCTCCTCAAGTACCTCCAGGAGTTCCAGGGAAACACTCCACTGCACATAATCTGAAAACCTTACATTGGTGCTCCTCATTTGGACCGTGGGAACAGCTCTCACCAGACTGAACGTGCGAAAACAAAAGGGCAGGAATGTGCTCCAGTTTTCCTCTGGGACCTTATAGAATTACACCGCTACTTGTAAAAAGTGAGATAAAGTTCTATTTTCAATCAGGTCAAGATAATTTATGTCCTTAGTATAATGAGGTGACAAATATAAAGGACACAGAGGAGGGAATTACTACTGTGTCTCCTCTCATTCACGGAACGTGTAACACAGCACCACTGACAAAGGTTCTGTCCTTAATTCAAAGACCGAAGTCACTGAAGGCTGCTCGTTCATCTTTGTCTCCTGTCACTGTGAAACCAGCTTCAACGTTACACTACTACAAGACTGAAAGCTGCCGATGTGACGCTGGTATTCCGCTTCTTTATCTATCTACGCTTTATTATCAAGTCATTTCTTTCTGTACTTGTGCTTGGGAATTTATCCCTTTATCATTTGATATCAAACCTGCCTGTGTTTGGCCCCCCAACCTCATCTTGAACTGTGATGTGTCACCACCATCTACTTTAACCCTCTGTTTACATTTGGCCATAAATTATCAATACAACCCTAAAATTAGAGGTAGTCTTTATTTGTGTTACAAAGTGCAGCTTTTGACTTCCTCCGTCGACCGTAGATCACTGACACTGAAAGTCAGGAGATTTTGTCGACTCTCAGGTTAATGGAAGCCCGGGGCTTTCTTTCTTTTTTCTGTTTCATGTGAACAAAGCCTGCATGGTCTGCTGCCATGGCACTTCAATACCTTTTTATTTTATATCACTCACTGCACTCTACAGTCACTTGACAGAATAATGATATGGGACAATAGTGGTGTTTGGATTTAGGCAAACGGTGTGACATCATCTCACAGGAAGCCCTTAGGACCAAAATATAAATAGTGGTATAGAAGTGTTATACTGACCCCCCAGCCCCCACCCCACCCCCTTTTCAGCGTCCAAAAGATCTCTTTCAGATAAACCAGGGATGTTGAGATAAACAGATCTGGACTGCAGACAGGACAGTCATTATAAGTCTAGAATTTATGAAGAATTGGGCCACACATTGACAAATGTTGTTAGTATTTCTGTATGGAGTTGGCATGTGTGTGTGCGTGGGTTTTTCCAGGTACTCCGGTTTCCACCTACAGTCCACCAACATTGGCCAGGGTTTTACCTGCCCTCGCTCGTCGACAGGTTGGATTGGGTCCAGCACATCATGCAAACCGCAAAAGAGTAAGCAGTAGATGGATGGATGGATGGATGGATGGATGGATGGATGGATGGATCCTGAGAAAAGACAGTACCTTCACAGACACATCTGTGGTATTTACACATATTTGTAGATTTAAGAAAAAATAGTCTCTAAATTCTTCTACTAATGTCGACTATCATGTGATAATAGTAATTATTTAATTGGAGGTGATAAACAGCTGACTATTTCTGATGAAGTTACTGAGAGACTGACTGTCACTGTATCATTATCATGTCATTGTGCCCCTCTCAGAACAGCCTCAACAATACAGTGTATTAGACACAGTACACAACAGTTACGCTGCGTGTCACTCAAGTCACTGTATATGCTGAGAAAACACACGCTTGGTCTTTTCTTTGAATAATTCAATACATCTTTTAAGCAGAAATACAGCCGTTGATGACAGGTAGTAACGTATACTTTATTGTCGTGCTGCGTATCAATGCGTATTGAGTTGTAAAGCGGCACATGGGCGGATTTATCAAGGCGGGAGACTCAACGCCGTCTCATTTTTCAGTCCTTTGGTCCTGAGACACACTGAAATAATTTAATTATTTTCAGTTTGGTGAGGCAAGACTGTTAGCATGGCACAAGGAAAACAAACAAAGCCTTATGTTTTGGTGCTTTTTTATTTGACTGTCTCTTGACTGTGTCATTTTGGCATGAATGACTCATTCTACACTTGTAATAATAATAATTATAATAATATTCTTTTTTAATTTAATTCTTTTGGTTTACTTATTTTTAATTTGTACAATGATAAAGTTGTGTTTCTGTCTTTATTAGATCTTGCCCCCATAACAGCAGGATGTGTGTGTGTGTGTGTGTGTGTGTTCCTTGATAACGTGTAAATACTTGCCTGAGCTCCGCTCTAATATTATGGACTGGGCTCCTGTGCCAAACGTCCCAGTTTATCTTGTGTGAGAGGGAACAAGGTCATCTGTCTTCAGTGAATCATCAGAGAACCTTCAGGGCTCAGCCGCTGTTTTGACTTCACACATTATTTTGACTCTGCGGTTCAGAGCAAAAACAGATTTGTATCACCCACTGTCTGGTACACCATGAAACGGAGACAGAGATGAACAATATTGTTCCATTACTGTGTTGTATACGATGTGTATAATCATGACCAATCCAGGGTAACGTCCATGTGTCTGCAGCCCTGACATACAGACAGTAAGACAGAGGAGACAACATGAACCCAAAACAGAAACAACTTTATTTATTATCTTCTGGCTTTGACAATAACTTGACTTAGTGCAGATCAGCAAGGTCTCTTTGACGAACTAGACATGTGTTGTTACCATAATACATAGAAATTAGGCTCAACAAAGACATAGATAAAAAAAATGGCAGTAAGGACGTTTTAAAAATGGGCTCTAAAACAAACCGGACCTTCTCAATTCCTTGAATAATGCACGGTTTTATGAGAATTTGCATTTTCAAACACCATCAAAAGTGTGTCAATTACCAAAAGTTATCTAAAAGTTCCTTCATAGTGAGCTATGATTTTTCTCTTTTTTGCGTTCTTTGGCAAATGCACACTCAACAGATTCCAGCCACTGGAATCCAAAAAGGAAGTATAGCAAGGTGTGTGTGTGTGTGTCTGTAGGGGGGGTTAGTTAGTTTGTTTTTTGTTTTTTTAGGGGCAGTAATTTTTGTAATTTTAAATGTCTTTCAAACTTCTGGTTGGTGTATTATCATTGGGCAACACAATGTTTTGTTGCATCATAGATTAGGAGGCCACTTCATCAATTACGGTGTGCTCATTAATCTTAAAAAAAAGAAAAGAACAGGTCATGAGACTAAACTTTCATCACACACATTTGTTACCAAATTCACAATAGAACAGTTAAATTCATTCATTGAACTTCTGTTATACTTTTTTGGGTTTGTTTTTTTTTTACACTTGAATGGTACTATCTAATAGTACTATCCATAGTACTATCTATAGTACTATCCATAGTACTATCCAATAGTACTATCCATGATCCATGTTACAGCCAACATTCAGCCCAGAGACCTACTTCTGGGTCTCACCTCACTGCTTGATAAACAATGTCCTACACAACAGACTCCCACACAGGGAGAGTGTCGGAGTCTTGACTGTGCAGAGAACTTAAACCAGTGTCCGAGTCGTCATCGTTCACATCCTGAGCCTTGGACAATCCTCTGGCCTTCTCCACCCACTCATTTTTGCCCTCCACCCAGTCGTTCTTCAAGCTCTTCACCTCTGTCTTATCATCTGTGCCATAGATACAGGTCTCCTCTCTGGCCAAGTCCTCATCCAAAATATCCATCGTGTCCACTTTCTGCAGTAAATCCTTGATCTCCTGCTCTTTTGCTGCATACATCTCCTGTGTCAGATCTAAATCAGCTTTAACAGCCTCCAAATCTGTGCTGAGGCGCAGGCCGATGTACAAACTGGCATCTAGCTGCGTTCTGATCCGCTCATCTTCCAGACACGCTTCACTCCCTAGACTCATATCTGTCCATGTGTTGTGGACAGATGGGACACCTTTGCCCTTGACGGGCCCCCTGCTCCTGTTCCTCAGCTCCTCTCGCCGCCTGTGCATCCAGCGCTGGTTCAGCTCCTCCTGTATCTGCACAGTGATGATGTCTGTCAGCGCCTCCTGCTCCCACAGCTCCTCTTGAAGTCTCACCACCTCCTCACACCACAGTGCATACTCCTCCAGCTTAGCCAAAGTTTCAGCTGGATATCGATTCTGCTCCTCACGACTGGATGCTGCAGCACCAGCAGCACCAACTAAGTACGTGTCCTGTACGTAATTAACCCCATGCCTTTTCATTCTGTCAAAATGCACTTTGGCCTCGCACATTTCAATCTCACCGTCCAGCTCTTTGATCCTCTGGATCTGCTGACGGATGGTGTGGTCCTGAGAAACCACCCGATGGACCAAAGTCTCCATCTTCTCCGCAGAGGTGGTGTCCTTGTGCGCCACCCGCGCTCTCTTTTTATTGATTTTCTCCAACTTTCTGAAAGCTTTCCTGACGATCCGCCGCTGTTTGTCTGGAGAAATGCCCGCCATAGGTGACCGGGCAGCTCCTTTGGTCACACCGGGATTCTGTTTGCTGCGCACTACGCGCGCCTCAGCGCTCCGGGCTGCGTGGTTCTCCAAAGACACCTCGCTTTTCACCAGCACGAACTTCACGTTCTTCTGCTCTTCTCCCCACGCCGTCCACAGACGCAAAATCCTGGTTTTGTGCGGCAGAATCCGTTCGAAACCTCTCCACTTCTCCACGATGCAGTAGGACTGGGTGGCGCAGAGTCCACCCTGTGAGTTCTGCTCTTCCAGAAGAACCTTCACCACGTCGGCGCAGGTGGTGCGTTTGGACAAGCCGAGGACGAGTTTCTCCTCCCGACATACCCACACCGAGATTGTATTCTCCTCAGTCTCCATCACGAACTTACACTAGAACTTAATCACTGCCAAAGAATTAAACCCTAAACATATCCTGGGATCCACCTGTGCGGGTGCATCCTGTCTGTGTGCGTGCACGCTGCGAGTGGAGAAGTTTGTGACGGGACTGGAGGGTTGGAGCTCCATGTGTCCTCCTGTGCACTTTCCCGAGGCCAAGGCTAAGAAAGACATCACCCTCTGAAGAACTGCCTCTGCCCTGGTCACATGACTGACACTTGGGGATTGTCTGTCTGTGCTGTGGTGCCACTGTCTGGTACACAAACAAAGTGTAATGATTTTTTCTTTTTTTTAAAATGAATGAATGTGTTGTCCAAACAATCTTTTGAACTGTGTGCACACAGTGTGACGTAAACACCGTGAAGTAAACAGCAAACAAAACTGCAGTACAGCACAGTGGAGTCGATGCAAACACTTCTTATACTATCCTGACCTACACCGTAGGGTAACCAACACTGTCCGGTACATTTGTGACAGACTTGAAATATTAGTCTAAATACATGACACTGATAACTAATTGTCTTGTGAAATGTAACACTGTGGTGATAAATGGCCCATCGGTGCTTGTAAATATTTAGCCATTGGTTGGATTCTCATTATTGACAGCTCTGTGAACAACTAACCTTTTAAGGGATGTAAATTTAATTTCAGCTTTGTTTTTAATTCATGTCTAATTTTGTTCAAACTGAACTAAGATTGTCAGTTAGATAGACAGAACTACAATGTGTTGGTCTTATTCCCCAACAAATGCTTCAGTGCAGAAAACAGTTTGCGCTCTTATGTCTCACTGCTGTTAAGACTGTTGTGTATTTACGGTAGAAAACATCACTGCAGTGGTTCGCCGAACTAGGGGATAGTTGAGAAATAACAGTTCCATCTTGTGGTAAGTCAAGATCCCTGCAGCCCCAGAAAGAACTAGAAAAGGTTCAGTGAACGGACAAGAAGAAGAAAAGAAAATACCCTTTCAGATTTATTTTACTTCAATATTGCATACATGAAGGTAGAAAGCTACAAAATAACTATAATATCAAGAAGGCATCATAAAGTTACAGAGCAAAGACAAGACCATATGCAAAACACAGAAACACGGCAGAGAGTCTTTTATCCCCCAACATCATCATCATCTGAAAAGATATCACACGTGTACCAACAAATGCCAGGATATAGCTTTGTACAAAGAAACCTTTTTTTACAGTTAAAAAACAAAAACAAAGCATCAACATCTGCACAGAAAACTCAAATGTGTGTATGACAACTATACATGAGCTCAGTGGAGCATCACTTTAAAGCCGCCGTCTAAAAAAGGTCATAGGGTAGAGACATAAAAAGGTACCAGTACCTACAGAATAACAAACAATAATAGCCAGACTGCTGATGTGTGTAGCACGATTCTGCAAATCTGCTGGTAATTTTTGAGCGTCAATCCTCTCTTGACCTCAGCCCTGCTGTGAAAACGACACATCCGAATGTACCAGCAGTGCAGCAGTAACATCATCGCCACCGAACCAGGCCTGCCACACACAGACAATGTCATCACACAACCAAATACAACTGGATACGAGTATATTAACAACGTTTCACTACATTAAATGCAAACCGATACACAGGGTAAACACAAACGAAAGGCCCGTCAACACTGCAGTGTCTCCAGGACTGTGGCAAAAAAAATAAAAATACTGAATGTCTGACATTGATCTGCATCTACCAGAGACATCGTCTGAAATTAGATATTTGATTTAAGTATATCAGTTAATTAAACTGTAGAAAACAGCGAGTGTATTCACAAAAGGCCTTGACCACAGCAGGTTTGAACTAGGTTTGAATCACAAATGCTGATAAATTCAATACAAACTCTCCAAGGTTGTTGACAGAGATATGTAGTGATAAAAGGTAACACATCTCTGGCTGGTTCATCACAGCTGTGTGTGATGTTGAAGGTAACGCCAGCGTAAAGTGCCTGGTGTTTCCTGCTGTCGTTAAGTCACAGCCCAGCCAGCAAGTCCATGTGGGACACATGGACACTTATTTGGACTACATGGATACAGGCAGACAAACAGTGAGTCCAACTAATGACTGCCCTTTACGTCTACTGCAGAGTATACCATGTACAGATACAGGAGGGGACAAAATAGTTATAGGAGTTTCTCTCAGTCTTTAAATAAAACACACTTGAACCTGCAAGTGTGCTCAGAGCACAGGGACTCAGCCTGATGTCTGTTACATCAAGAGAACACAGGCCACGTTCTTTCTAATTCTGTCAGAATTATGTGACTGGAGTCAGGAGTTCAGAAAGTATCAAGATACTGCAACATATCAATGTTTCCACAACAGCTGGACCAATATATTCAGTTAAACACGTGCCATATACATGTTATTACACTTAAATTACAACTTGCATCAAAGTATTTTCAAATATACTTTGTGGGCTGCAGCACTGGCTGCATCGTTCGCCTGTGTATGTCTAATGCTGGGAGATGTGACTAACTGTAGCCCCCGTGTGGCAAAGTAGTGGAACAACACGGTGGTCGATTTAGCACAGCCTGGACATAATTTGTTTAAAAATCTACATCACCAATAGACTTTTAATGTCAAAGTTGTTATTCAAAATCAATCAGTCGTGTCCATCCCTGGTTAAATGTGACTTTATCACTCCTGTCACACATGTAAATTGGCACAGTGAAGTTGGTTTCACAGTGGTCATCCTATGCCTGAATTCTGACAGGGGGTGGGGTGGGGGCAGACTACACTCTGACTTAGGGGTAACATTAGAAGCGTAAAAAGCCATCCAGTTGGCCCTGATCCTCTGCAGCTCATGGCTGTATATTATCAGCTGGTGTTGCATTCTCTCACCTCAAGTCAATATTTTTCTTCAACTATATAGTTATTACAATCAATTTACAAGATCAAAAGATAGATTTTTCAGCTCTGTCGTGTGGTCATTACAATGCTGTGAAAAGGCAATGTGGTGATTGGTCTCACTTAAAATCTCCTTTTTGGTCTTGATTTCTTTTTTCACTCTGTGTTTAATCTTTTGAGGATTTTAATTTTGAATTAAAGGCACTTCCTTGCTACCATGCAGGACAGGACTAAGGACTGACTGTACCTCTGTATTTTTGGTCTTTTGTAACAAAAAAGACAGTCACTGGTAGGAGAAAAGTTTTTCACGTTCACCTGTGAACCAAAGCAACAGAATTCTGAAAGCGTAAGGTTTAGGAACAAAAGTCAACAGATGCAAAAACGGTGACGTCATTGATTTTTAACTTGAAAATAAAGCAAAAGGGTGATGTAAGAATAACTTTTAAGGCACTGTACACTTACACTTTGGCTGTTTGTATCAGGACTGTTTTTTTTCTATGTAGACATCACAGTCTTTGTGGCATCATTAGGAGTTTACACACAGCTAGCATAATGTTTAAGGCTCGGGATCAGTGTAGGCCACAGAAACGTGTGAACACAGTTAGGATAAAAAGGCAGAAACTCTGAGCTGATTTCGTACCACGACCTTGAAGGAGTAAGATGTCACTTCATCACGGGGCCATGGCCACCACAAACTTAATCTCTGCTGAGTTACTCTTAGTGTTAATGTGATTAGTCACACTATTCATCACAGGTCTGCTAATATGTCAGTAAGGCAAGTCCAGGAATGTGAACAAAGTGCTTTTGAGAAAGATCAGTCTGGTTAGAGTCATTTGAGGAAATAAAAATTGATATTCTCAGATAGGTTTAGGAAACGGCCGAGATTTTCCAAGAGCTGACATAAGCAAAACAAACAAACAAACAAAAAACCTTTTAGTGTCTGAAATTTGTAGTGATTTGTTTATAGCAAATGTAGTTTTTAGCTACTGTGTATGTAGTGTTTCTTTGGAAAATCTGTTGTCAGTAAGTCTACAGTAAATACGATGACAAATGTTGAACAACAGACATAAAAAACACCAGTGAACATATTACAAGGATCACAGATCAAGCTGCTGGTATTAAAGGCCAGCAGCTGTATTTTTTTAGTCTAAATAGCAGAGCAGATTTTGACAACACAAATAAATCTAGTATAGTCTTTAAGATCGGCCACATTTATACCCAACATAGACAAAACATGACACGTTTCAAGCACAATTTCCCATCGTTATACATTTAACAACTGTACCGCAATACACAGCTGCAGTCAAATAACATTTACATTTAAACAAAAGGACTTCACCCGTTACCATGGCCAAAAAGCATTGTCAGTGTGACTTTCAGGTAGAGGCACTGCCACTCGTATTGAGGTTTGAAAGTCTGTGAAAAGCAGAGGGTTAAGGAGACACCTGGTACTCCTCACTCTTTCACCAGTCTGTAGATGTGATGCTGGGCGCCGTGCTCACTGTTCGACACTTCAAATACACAGGCCATACAAAGCAGCGTCTCCTGGGTGTCCCTGTTTGTCACCACCTGCCAGAAGACAAAAGATAGTCACTCCTTAAGTTAAATGAAGCGTAAAATGTGTTCCACACCCAGGTTTAACTTCCTCCACAGCTGTTCCTGCTTCAGCTAATGACTGTGTTTCAACCTACAGGAGAAAATGGTGATCCTTATCACCTGTTTGCTGTTATTGGTTAATCATAGACCAACCGTAATCCAATAAAAACCTAATCTCTGATATATTGATGCTGATGTGAAGTCAAACAGTGGTCCTGAAAATGCTGATTTGCTTAAGAATTTTCATCTGTTTGCTCAAATTAATTTTTCGTCTAACTCTACAGCATATTTCTTCATTAACTATTACCAAAGTGTTGTATGGCCAAAAGTCTTTTTTATCTATTGCTTCCAATTGCTGTGAGTGACATTTTTTAGCCCCCGTGTAACTGCTAACCACGGGGGTTTCACCTGCCATGTCTATTCTCCCCCAGCAGATAATGAGGCTCCTCACACCACGTTTCATCCACTGAGGAATGATAGGAATGTGAGACCTGCCAGAGGAGCTCATCTAAAGACACTCCTCCCCCCACATAGTTTTTTTCAAAGAGACCTACGGCCGCCGACAATCCTCGACAGTGACATGAAGAAGAATGAGCGTCTCTGAGACAGACCACCTGCCAACAGGTCAGTGACATAATTACCAATAAGATTGTGAAGTTCTCCAGCACGCTGTTCATCATGTATTTCTCTGGTAGATGTTTTAGCTTATGGATGAAGTTGATCATGTATTCACACATGGGAGAGCGGCTTATTCTGTAGACAAAGCGTCCGTTCTCAAACCGTGCGTATTCAGTCTGAAGAAATAGGAGATTATGGAAATAAAACAAACGCTCCATCTTACGTATGAACACAGCCGTGTAGAGAATTCTGTCATTTTATTCACAATTTGATTTGGTAAGAATTGTGTCCATACCTCAACTTTTTCCACCACCTGTTTGCCAAAGGAGCAGACCTTTGTTGAGCATGTGATGGTCATGTTCTCTGAGCTTTCATACTGACTCGTGACTCCATAGAAAGACCCGCTCTCTTCTTGAATGTTACAGTTCAAGTCAGCCTAGAAGAAAGAGCGAGACATTGAAGGTTATCAACACACGACTAAAGTGACATGAAAAAATGAACCTACATTTTGGTACTGCCACAGATGGAGGTCAATAACAGCAAGTTGCAACAGGCATCGGAGAAAGCATTATTTATTATTAGACCTGGCATAATTTGAGCTTCTTTTATTTAAATTCACACTTTTAGAAATTAATAAATACAACCCAGGAGAGAGTTCTTTACTCCTAATGAAAGTATCATCCTGGATATTCTCGGGTGTTACAACAGGTGAGACAGGTTATTGTGTCTCTTCCCAGAACCGGTCCTAATGTCCTCCTAATGTATTCAACAGAGTCTTAGGTCAGAAACACCTCCACTACTTTATTTTTCATTTTAAAGATTTTTGTTAAATTATCAATAAGAGCAAATGTGACTCTTTCTGCATCTTGTGTTAGATATTACACTCCCAAAAAGTCATCAAATAATCTGGTCAGACTGACTTTGTGTCCTAATATTACACCTCATACAGTTTCATCAACATTATGACATGTATTTCTTTTTTTGATAAATCTTTTTAGCACTCTTTTTGCCGAATGAAACTTTTTGTGATCCACAGTAAGTAGTATCAGTGTGTTAACACTAGCACTGACGGGAACATATTTGAATTTACCTCTCTGTCAAAGAAACACAATTCCTAGGTGTAAAGTTTAAAAGTGAATGTAAAAATGTAAAAGTAAAATGGTAAGAATAGACATGTTCAAATAGGACAAACTCCACCACAAAATTACACCACATCAGAAATTGTAGGTAATTTTTTAAGAGATCGATATAGTGATAATGGATTTTTTTTATCAAAAAGAGAATTATTGTTCAAATAAAATGCACAAAAGCAGAAAAAAGATTAAATTAAAACAACTTGTAAGACAAAAACTATCAGAATATGGGTCTGATATTAAGAAGCAGCCACAAGTCTTCAACAGTCCACTGAGCTGAGGACATGTTGGACTAGAAGACCTCAGTCTGCTTCTGAATTATTATGTTAATGTGTCCTCATTGGAAACTGGATTCTGAGGAAGAATAAATGAAGGTTCAATAAAGGAGCAATTTATAAGGTAGATCTGCTCAGCTTTTCGAGGGCCATCTTTCCATGCCTTCAACCTCCTGTTCATTATGGCAAAAAAACATAGAAACAAACAACAACACATAACATCCTCCTACTACGTCCTGCTCATTCATTAAGCAGAGCAGTTATTCGTTCATTATTGTGCAGATTCCGTCTTTCATTTGAAAATTAGATTGTCGGTCACTTCAAAAAAAAATCTCAGAGGACTTGGTCAAGTGCACGCCAGGCCTACTTTGTTGGCTGCCGCTAGTTAGCATATTCCACCGAGGAGTAAATACATGCGATGTTTAAATAGCTATTAGGAGTGCAAGTGGGTCACTCCATTGTTTGGAGATATTAAAGTGAATTAGCGAGCGCTTTGATCAAACACTCCCCTGCTATGCATGACCAAATATAGCTGAGGGCATTCTGCAAACATTAAGAGAACAGTGGAGTCAGTGTAAAACAACGACAGGAAGTAAACAAATATGATCTTGTTCAGTCTGGTAGGGATCAGGATCTCTGACTTTCAGCTGTAAAAATAGTTCCTAATACCTTTAGATCTGTTTGTGTGTGTGTGTAAGTGTGTGTTTGTACTTCTGGAAATGATTACTTACCCAGAACTTAATGAGGAAGAAGGAATTTTGTGGACCTTTTCCATACAGTTCCTTCAGTCCTCCTTTCTTCTCAGGAAATTTATCATAAATCTGACGAATGTCCACCGACTCCAGCAGGGCGTCACTGTAGGAATGATTTGTCTGTCCAATATGTACAAACAGGTGCTTGTTGTACTGGAAGAGAAAAAAAAACTATAACTATAAAACAACAACACGCACAAAAATCATTTATACAACAACAACTAATGACCGAAGTAATGAGAACACAGTAGGTAAGTAGGGAAGTGAAATCTGTAAAGTTAATTTATATAAAAAATTGTGTAGATGACACTGTACATAAAAATATTCACAAGAAATTCAAGGCGGCACACATCTGAATGTTGTTTATTCTGCTGAGCTGAAAACTGCAGTTTAAATATCGTTTTTGCAGTACAGTAAGTGACTAATGAACAGTTGTTTTTTGGGTTTTTTTTGGCAGGATTCCTGTCACGTTTGTCTAGGATAATGACCAACTGTATTTAGGACTGGATGAGTGAAGTCCACACTTCCTGTCTGAGGCACTCACTGAGTCTGGGTCTCTCTGTTGCTCTAGGAAGGCTGAAAACTCAACTAGTCGGAGTTTTGACGTTCCAATAGAGCGACCCTGCCATGCTGGAGCTGTTGGAGCTGGTGTGGGCTCATAATCTGAAGTGAAGGAGAAAAAATAATGCAGATGAATTACAAATATTACACAATGATAAATTGCACTAAAACATGTTTTGTGTTGAGGTTGTGGATAATTATTTATTAAATGTAAATGGTGAAACTACAACTAATTGCAACTTTCTGCGACCTGCCACTAGTCTTCTCCCTACAATGTTAATTTACTGCAAAATATTGTAATGATTCTTGGACTTGTCATTTTTAAAATGTTTTGATAATTGTTGAAAAGTAACGTTCTGCAAGAAATCATTGTTTTTCAATTTCAATTCCATGAATGGGTTTTCATGGGCAATTTAAAATCAGGGCAATGTGTCAGCAGAGTGGACTGCCTTTTTGTTATAATATTTGATTAATAATACAAAATTACAAAAGAAACACAGAGGGTGTGAAAAAAAAGTGAACATTTTGTTGTTACTTTTTCTCCATCTGAAAAAGTCTTACTTGTTACGGCTGCTGTGACCGATGGTTGGGTGTGATAGCCTTGTTGGCTGAAAGGTTTAATACTGAAGAAGAGAAAAACAAACACATCACATAATCACACTTCAAATGATCATGTTATATACGTATATTTTCTTTGCCAGTTTTCTATTCTGATGTAAAGGTTTTCAAACTCACTCTTGCGAGGATCCTGGCTGGCCAGTTGATATCATTCCCTGCCACAACTACAAAAGAAGGAAACAATGAGGAATAAGGAACAAAATTGTCCAACTGTGAGCAGATGTGAGCAACATGACTGTTAGGGTTCACAGGCCCATGTTCAATAGATGTAGTTATCTTGACGACCACTCCACTTTATCATCTGCTTCTCTGATAGGCCCAGATAAGCGGTGTGTGTAATGTGATTTGGACTTGGTGTCAGTAAATGTTTGGCCCTGTGGCTCCTCCTGGATGGAGCAGATCTGAGGTTAGGTGCCAGTGAAAGGCTCTTACCCCTGCTCCAGGGAAGGCTGGGCGCGGGATGCCTGGCAGGCCCAGTTTGTTGTGAATAGCCGTGGCAGAGACGATCTGAGCTGAGGACATGGAGGCCATGCTCTGGAGGGCTTTGTCCTTCACGGCTTGGTCCTTTAATAGCAGTCACAAAAGGGCTTAGCACTCACACAGAGGGGGGAGGCAGAGAATGATGCAGTGGGAGCAACAAGCAGATTCTAAACAACACAGTGAATGCACCACTGACCTCTACCACAACAGAGAACAGCAAGCAGGTTAAAAAGAAGATGCATCAGCATTGCTATTTAAGTGTGGCCTTTTTTTAAGGAATGTGCCAAACAATTACCATTGAATTCCAACATAAAATGCTTAGCAGTGTGGTATGCACTTAAATTTGTCTGTTGATTACTTTTCTGCTAAAATACTTTTAAAACACCCATCCCACAGCGATTATATCAAGACTGTTGATATAACAGCATATTCAATCATTAAATGTTGCAAAGAATTTCTCAGCCCAAAAGTACGAGGGTGCACGGCTCTAAATATGATGTAGTTTTAATTAAGGTTTGTAGTATTAGGTTTTAACAGGTAATAGCTGGGTTAATGTGTACTGGAATGAATTTTAGGAAGATTCAATTTCCTGAAAATTCAAGGTAAATACTGCAACATTTTGACACACAGAAAACCAATGCATTTCCATTGGCAGAAACTGAAGGTCAGCATGCTGGCAGGGTCGAGCTGCACTACGATAGTGGAAAGCTGTATGATGAAACATACTAACGCACATACACGCAAACACACAAAAATAAACTGGGGAACAGCTATTGTGTCACTATGGAGGACAAAAGCATAATTAGCAGCCAAAGCATGAGGCAGGCTCTGGTTAAAGCACATTCAAAATAGAGAGAGAATACTTACCATGTTTGTAACCTAAACGCAGACAAACAGGGTTTTACAGTAAATATGTTGATCAATTTAACATATAATTCAGCTCCTAAGTGCCACACCTAAGTGTAAAAATGTCAATTTTTAGTGATGTATTTAAACTGTACATTGTTACCTAATAAACAAGTTGTAAAGTAGTAAAGACATTATTAGGAAAGTTCATCAGAGAGCTTTAAGCACAAATGTGTGTTAAAGTCTTTACCAGGCAGAAATGGTATTTACAAAGTATCCTAACACTCTGTGGCAAATATCTTGCTCTTTATACTTTCTGATACTCAATGGAGACAGAAAAAGGCAGAACAAAAGCTTAATGACTGTAGTTTCACCAAAATGCCACAGACTGAATCGGAAACAGCAGGTTTTTCATTGACACCAGCTACTACTGCTCCTTTTGTTGTTGTTGATCTCTAATTTGCTTGAAATGACAAGAGACAGGAACTGATACAAAGGCCGTCTGTGTCTCTTCAGACTGCTGCCTGAAAAACCCTTAAAAACCAGGCATTTCTCTGAATGGCTGCCTGCCTGACTCTCTCTCACTCGCTTTATACACACACACACACACATATTAATATACAGTATATGTACATATATATACACACATATACGTGCCACTAACATACTTTTAACCAGCAACCAAAAAACTATATTGACTCAACTGAGGTCTGCAGTTGCACAAATCTTTACAAATTGCATGCTGTTATTATTACGTTTTTTCCCCAAATGTAGCCTATGATAAACACACATGTAACACGAGTGGCTGTCATTGAAAGAGTGCCAACTATGGGAGAGGAGTTTATTATGAGCATCAAGTATATGCAAAGCAACCAACAACATTATATGAAAGGCATTGCGACATTTCTACATAAATTCAATGCCTGATCATAGGTCAACATTATTCAAAATCACCTTTTTTAATTAACTCGCATACTGCTATTCAGAAAAAATATGAGGAAAGTTTGCTGCAGTAATAATTAACAGGATGCCACTGAAATGATGACATCTGAACCCGATGGAAAGGGCTGTGATGTAAAAACTCTAGAGTTATTGACAAGCCGGAGAGAAAAGAAGAAAGCAGAGGAGGGCATTTTAAAAACAGCCAGCTTCATGGCATCACGGCCATTTTCCGCTCCGAGTAAACAATGCTGAGCCTTTGACATCAGAGACAGTTGGGTTAGGTTGTCAAAAGAGACGGAGGTGCAATGTTCACCTCTTTTTATTTGATGAAGTATCAGCTTCATGTAAGCAGTAACCAGTTCACTTCAGCTTCTTAGACCTTCAGCTTCTCAGCCACTCACCAGCAGCCATGCCAGCATGCTCCCCAACATGTGTGTACTCTTTAGATGCAGCTGTGATTGTACATTAAGTGAATATATCAGTAAAACTAACAACTGTGTGTGTGAGCTCTGTCAAATAAAACACATTCATTAAGAAAGGTGACCATAAACAGTATTTTAGCTCTTTCTCTGGTTCACTAATCTTTCAATTCATCAATTCTAAAAATGTATGATAAATGTAGGATAGAAGCTTGAAATTGGAAGTCTACAGAAAAAGCAACAAGGAGTTTGTTAAAAACTCTGAATAGACTGGAGGTAGCAGAAGAGTTAGTGCAAGACATGGATAAGTAGGAATCAGAGCAACAGGCATTTACTCTGTCACTACACGGGAAATAGGAAACAGGAAGTCAAGACAAACACAGCGACCAACAAGCCCAAAAGCAGAAAAGCGCATACCTTTAGCTTGGAATGAAACTCACGAGATTTCCTTCTGGCAAGAACCTGAATGTGACTAGACACCTGCAGGGTAGGGGAGGGGAGGAAAACAAAGGAAGAACCTGTAACCATGGCAATGAAAAGCCCCCTACAGCAGGGCAAAGACGTACCTTAATGGCAGCTTGGATTTCTCGAACTTTCTTTCTTGCTAAGACCTGTATGTGACTAGACACCTCCATTAAAACAGAGAAAAGGGAAAATAAACAAACAAGAACACAAGAGAAACCAAAAGGTGTATCACACCAGTATGTGTGTGTAAAAGGAAAAAAAAAAGTCAGGTTCCAAACGGAGGCATGTCCAAACCACACACCACAATATCAGCCAGTCAGTCATTAGGCCGTGTGTGGTTTAAGTGAGCTGATTAAGGAGGATGCATGTCTCTTTAGCACATTAAGAGCAAACAAACGTGACCAGCACTGAGCTGACTGAGAATCAACTCCTAACATGTTCTTATGAAACACTGAGGCATATCACCAACATTGACACAATTCACAAGTATTTGGGAGTCTAACGATACAGCAGTACACACTTAACTTTTTTAACATTTGGCATGTGAAAGGCAAGACAATATTTTTAGTTGAGATTTGACAACATCAGATGGATAATTTTTTATGTTAGATATTTATTGCACCACAACATTTTTACAAAAGCCTTCAGTTATCATTAAAACTGAAAGACTTAAATGTGATTAGGGCTGACATTAAAACAACTTGATCTTGATAAGCTCTTATCTGGGGTAATGAAGAAACTTAATAAAAATAAGCATAAGTGATCTGCATACATTTTAAATTTAAGTAAATACGAATAAAATTATTACTCTAAATGTGTGGGTAACTGCAACTTTAAATGAACAAACATGTTTGTGAATAACTGTGTGTATTTTTCTGCTCCTCTTAAAGAAGGTTAGCCTCATATTAATCAAAATAAACCCTAATATGGAGGTATTTGTTTAAGGCAGCAGCTGCAAGTTCAGCTGTTTGTTTTTCCATTTGATTCTGTGTTGTGAAAGAAAGTGACAGAGAAAACACATGGCTTGTTTTGGTCCCGATTGATCTATTCTCTCGCACACTCACAAAAACACACACACAGGCCTGCAGGCACACATATACATATACACACACAAGGCACAGGCTTATTTATCACTGTTATAACTTTATCAGTCAGATGTTACTGAAGCCTGTCCTGATCATGTCCATCATTGTAAAGGTACAAAATTGAAAAAAAAAAACAAGGTCCCTGCAAAACCTGCAGAGACACTGACAAAACACCACATGCCATCAACTCACATTCAGACAGATTTGAAAATACAACAGCGACTGCACTGGTTACTCATCAGTAAGTGTGACTCCTGTGGGTCTCCTGTGGGGTTTCTTTGTCAGTGACATTTCGGTAACACACACTGACATAGGGTTAATGTATTACTATATGTTTTATGTATGTTACGTAAGAAACCAACAGATAACTCAACAGAGAGCTGAGCGTTAGCTGAATGTTTTATTTCAATATTCAATTAAAAGTATATACTATTATAAAAACAGTACATACTAATTCTTCCCACATACTGTTTGAACACCTGAATGTCACTTAGGCTACGTAGGGATCTGGCATCTTGGTTTAAGGCGCAAAGCAGCATCTACTGTGCGGTATGACCACTGATATTTTGAGATAACACACCCTACTCTTTGTGCTGTGACGTGCCATTCGTTTTTTGTTTCAACCAATGGAAAATGTCAGAATTTATATTGATTTTTAATCCACTAATAATGCATTGTTACGTCCGTAATTAAATTGGACTTAAAATAATACGAAATATATCTCAACGCTACAAAAAATGTTCATTTTCCAACTTGCTCTTTGACCCTGACTGATGATGCTACACTGACGAATAAATTGCCAACACTTTGATTAAACATGCCTTAGGTGAACTCTGTGGTAGACTAGTGATATGTGGTGTTGCAGACGGCGGTGATGTGCCCTCTCAGATCTCTCAACAACTCCTATTGATTAGACCATTATTCATTTGTATTCATAAAGGCCTCTACTGGTCAGCAAAGTAATGACCACAATCATGTAGTCATGAGGAGGTTTTCTAGCACTGTTGCACTTTTCTCTTCTCACATGACAATATATTTCTTGAGCCTTTATTGACAAATGCAGAAAACTGTACTTCAAATGTACAGTATATTACAAAGACTGATGTATTCAGGCATCAGCAATCAGTCTCTCGTCCAATAGCTGTGTTTGTTTTTGTCTATCTCTGTTGCTCTCCACTCACAAACAAATGCAACCATGTGCACACACTCCAACCGCACTTTGACATGAGATCAATCAAAAAATGTCTATCTTTTCTTACCTGCTTTCGGGTCCTCGTCTTCCCAGTCCGAAGCTTGATATACCGTGCTATCAGCTCATTTCGACCTGGTTGAGAGGAAAAGGACAGCAATGGTTTAAGGTAAAGTAATGCTGCCTATAGAGTCACTTCATTAAATCGATAAGTGCAAAACAGAAAATGTGTACATTGTCTACATGAACCAGATCCATTTACCCAAGGAATTATTGAACGTGAGCATGAAAAAAAAAAACTGGCAGCACCAGCACAGCTGTTCCAACTGATCTAATTCAATTTTACTCTCTTCAAAGCCTGAAGCCAACAAAGGAAACAGGCCTGGTCTTTTCATACTATTACAGAAAATAATGGTACCTGAATATATTGGGTTAAAAACAGGACAGTTCAGACTTAATTAAAATTGACGCTTTATAGAGACTTCCAATTAGCAACAGCTCTAAACATTCTTCTGCCCTCAGCTCTACTCTCATTGCTGCAGCGGTGCACATGACCCCGGATTAGCTCTTTCATATGGTAATAACAGACAGTAATAACTGCCAAGCAAAAACTATTACGCAAATTATAGGAAAGGAGGAGACCAGTGGCATGGATATGTTCTTCTTGTCTGTGAAATGCATTTGAAACCCTGGATATAATGCAACATTTTTCTACATTCACTTCATTGGTAATTAATGGGCTTCCTTTTACTGTGACACAATGGGACTGTGCTAATAAGCTGCGTCCTCGGGAATCAGAAGAAAAGACATTTTTCTCTCAGTGGTTGCACCTCAGAGAAAGGGCTGGGTCACATGACCAAAGCTCTGAGAGATGAAAGAACTAAATATTCACCTGCCTCTACTGTTTGCATGGAGGCATCATTAAGTATGAAAAGTGGAGGAAACATTAGGCTTGTGCACCAATGTTCCTGTTGAAGTGAACTACATATAGCAGCTTCCATAAGAAGCTACTTTTTTGGCACCATTAACTTTCCGGTACACCAGAAGGAAGACATCTTAAACATTTGGATCACAGTTCAAGTCAGTCACAGTATGCTATCCCAATAGCATATTACTGGCTCTGTGCAGCCTACAGTTTACAGTGTTTGTTTTTGTTTACTTGGAGAATCAGATGCCTGTTTGAAGCTCAGCAATTTTAATGTTAAAAAGCTTGGGTCATATCATTACAATTTTGATCAATCATTTAAAACATATACCTGTCATAAATATGCAGTCACTACAGCATCTGGCCGCCTGCCACACATACACGTGTATTTATCCAATCAGTATGGTAGAGATGGGAGGGGCTGCAGTCGATGTGAGATTTGTTAAAGGTTGTCGCTTACGATGTTTTCTCACTAACGATGCAGGTGAGGCCGACTTAAACGAGCCCTGTCACACGAGCTCAAAATAACATCTCCATTTGTGGGGAGGCACGATGTTAACCAGCCTCCATTCAGTGTATCTGTGTTTACTTCATCAGGTGTAGTGTCAAGGCATGGAAGAAGCTGCAGTGTTTTTAATAATTCACACAATGGGAACATGACATTACAATACAGGCATTCATGCAAACAAACTCCTGAATCGCAGATCAAAGCACACAAATGGGCAGCAGAAAGCCTGCTCGCTGTTGAATTATTTATTCTTTTCAACCAGGAAAGAAAAAAGCTCTGTGGGTTCAAGTGGACTAGCATTGTTTGTTTTGTTTTTTTCTGGGTTAACTATGCACTTATATTTTTTTGAAAATGTGTTACTGTTTAGAATTAACAGGATTTAGACATTTACCCTGACTTTATTATTTTCCATTTTTATTTCATTATTTTTTTTTATTAATTATGGTTTAGGTCTGACCGTTGTTACCAAGTCAGAAGTTGCTCTGCTAGTTGTTTCTTAAAGATTCTTAAATGTTCCACTTTCTTTTCCCTAATAATGCCTTATTAATCCTTATGATGCCTTATTAATCCTTATGATGCCTTATTAATATAGTTGGACCACAAGCTCAACTGGTATCATTGAAAGCAGTTATAACCAGTGTTAATGAACGTACAGCCATATGTGTTGTCCCTTCTTACCCAACCTCTCTTTTATCTCTCATAAAAAGAGCAGGACTTGTTACCGTTTAGCATCTTGAGTATTTACTTAACCTGGTCGAGTAAACACTACTCCAATTTAAATTTTGTCGTTTGTTGGATCTGCAACATATGAACAGGCCTCCAGTCGCGGCTTTCACAATGAGACTCAACTTCCTCTTAGTGGATGATTCTTCATTCAGTCAGAAATTCAATTTGGCCTTCACTATCCATTTTGGAACTCATCTGTTGTGAACAGCAGATGATTGTTCAATGTGGACCAACCAGATCGGGTGACACAATAACAAACCGGTGTATTTCTGCACTGAGCCTAAAACTAACTACACGTCACATTTTTGTCAATGACTAGATAAAATCTGGTTTTCAGTGTCCAACACCGTCCAAGAATACGCTAATATTCTGAAATTATTCTTATATGATTATGTTTACAAATATATCCTCATTTTAATACACAAAAATGTAATTTGCATTAAAAACCTAAAATTATGAGGTCATCAAACCTTACAATAAATCAAGAAAGAATAGATGCATGGAAGGTAAAATCAAATTAGCATTGATAAGCTCCAGTACTTTATGATGACTAATGGGCAAAACAATGGTCCAACTATAAATGTAGACTAGATTTCTTTTTACTTTGAATTGCAGAACCAGATTTTAGCAGTGGAGCCCATCTTTTTTTTTTTAAATTTACAAATCACCTTTATGTATTTGGTTGAAAATAGATGCTTCACTTCCATTGTCTTTAGCATCAGTGTATTTCTGTCAAACTGCACTGTACTTACTTGTTAATAGCCATTTATGCTCTATGTTTGAATGGAGTAATTCAGTTAACATCTCATGTGTGCTTAGATCAATCCCACCACCCATTGCTTGTACAGTATTATTTTCAGCTGCGATCATGAGTTTGACTTTGATTTCGAAGAAAATATTTAAATTTTAGGTAAATATGTTTTGTACATATGCCTTTGTATTTCTGTGTAAAAACTATTTATGTAATGAAACATGAACAGTTTCACCGGCATCATTAATGCAGCAAGAACAATAGTTCTCTACTCTGTCCATTCCATTATTTTCGTCTCATTACAAGCATCAGTTTCCTGTAAAAGCACAATTTCCTATTGTAGACACAACCAAAGTCACATCCTGCCCTGCACTCTGAGCTTAATGCTGCCGAAAATTCAGTCAACAGATTGTGTGGCTTCTACCAAACAGGCCTATCGCCATATAAACGATACACGCTACAGGAAGATATAGCAACGCTATGTACATTTTAATACTTGACAACTCAAGATCAGTAACTGATATGTACAGTGATTGAAGGTAGTTACATTGTGCAGCAACCAAGTATATTTTCAATTTAAGACATTTTTGTGTGCTGTAATAAACATGAAAATTAGACAAATTTTACTTCTGATACTAAATATTGGCCCACAGTAGACCCTCGTAGTCAAATCGAACGTGTTAACCTAATTATCAAGAAAAGTAAATAAAAAATATTTTCTGGGTCAAGCTTGTGAAATGCGACCTTGAAATTTCTAATTAAATATTTTGTTTTTCACACTTTGCTATTTGAACATGTTGAAATCTAGTTGAAGCTTTTAAAAGGTAATTTGATACAACACATGGATACATTTTAATTTCATTGTGGTTGAAACCTTTCCCTCTGGTTTACACATGAACATCAACACAAAAGCCCAAGCTTTCCTGTCATGTGTAATAGATGACTCCAGGGTCTCAGTCAGACATTTGCATCACAAAAGAATCAAACAATATAAAGGCATCCGTCCTGTGCAGGTTTTGGGAAAAGCAGCTCTAGGTTGGAAGCCTGCTGGTTGTGCTATCAATGGGAATGTAACACCATGCCGAGCACAAATGCTGTGACTTGTGACTTGCAGGAAATAGGGCAATGTTCCTTCTCAAAGTAAAATGAAATCTCCTGTCATTTCTTTAACTTTAACGTCTATTGATGTTTTTTGACATTTACAGGAATAAATGACAGTCCGAATAAGAATAAGACTGAATAATATTTAAATCAGTTGTGCAAACTAATACTGGGGCTGTCAAACAAATACAATTTTAATTTGATGAATCACAGCATTGGCTGTAGCTGTGGTTTAAACACAATCAATCTTGACTAATTAAGATAAATCAATGTTGATTCATATGACAAAAAAAATCAGATATACCAATTGGAATTTTTTTTTGTTAGTGAATCACATTAATTCTATTTGTTTACGATTAAATTACAATTATTATGATTACAAATGTTAACACTTTTACACACATGAAAACAATGACAAACATTTTTTTGTATGTGTACTGCAGGAGCATAGAATGCCATTTCATCCAGCGGAGGCTTCAACTTCTGGTCCATTTGAACTTAAGTTGGTTAGCATCATAAACAAACGCTGGGCGTTGACATGATATTTTAGGCTTAAAGTTTGGTGGAACATTAATACTCTTTTCCACAGTATGTGTTAGTTTGTGTGGAAATTACTGTCTTCACAGTGAACATGATTCTACCCATGTGTAGAAAGAGTTCATTTCAAACTGATTAATTTCACAAATCAGTTTGCACGTATGTATACATATACAATATATAAAATATATTTATATAAAGAATACAAAAAATTTGATTACTACCTTCAACATCTACAACACTAATCCGTCTTCTTGACACAAGTATAGCAACTTCCTCTATTTGTGGTGTCTAACGTCAGGCTGGATCCACGAGAGAGACTTCAAGACCGCTTGATGTTTAAAAAAACAGCACCGTCATCTTAAACACATTAAAAATCCCTCCACTTTAACTACTTTCATACATACAAACACCTGCAGGTTGACAAATATACATATACATACATACACACACCCACACACACACACACACATATATATATATATTTTTTTTTAATTGTTCTTCTTTTGAGTATAGCCTAAAACTCAGTCTTATTACTCCAAAGAAACAAATTATAGAAAAGGGTACTGCTGAAAAAAAAGAAAACA